GACATAAGAAGGTGGCAGAAGAGAAGAGAATTATCAGACCATGAAAGAATATTGCTTTTCATTCTCAATTCTTTGTCAGCCCATATAGACCAGGTTCTAATATTTAGAAAATGCTGCAAAGTCAATTTTTTCTCTTGACGCTTCTTGGAAAACAGAAGGTAAATGTTTATGATTCACTTTGATTATTATATTTTGGACAAATACTTTGGATCACATGGGTGTAAACAGATTGTTTCAGGATAATGTATTTGTTAATTAGTGGAATAGTACCCTGATTAACAGGGTAGAAGAGACTCTTCTATTTAAAAGAGACTCTTCTACTTATTTAAATAAATGTATGTGGGGCCTTAGATGATGGACAGAAGGAATACTTGTATTGTAATATAGAGAAGAAAAATGTGTCAGGCTATTATTTGCATTGTCCACATTGACACATTTTTCAACATGTGGTAGCATGCTTCGTCATGTATACTTAAAAGTCTAAACACCTGCTTGTCTCCTGTAATCCCTGTATTTGGCTATAGCAGATGCTGGAGACAGCTGAATTTTCATTACTGGACTTGACACTATTTCCTCACTGTTGGTGTTACATGACTTGAACTTGAATTGCATTTACTCATTTGGACGAAAATCTTTCTAAATCAGCAGCAATAAAGAGTGTAGTTATAACTGAAACAGTGAGGCCACCAAATTACTAATATTGCCCTGACTCCGAGAAATGAAGATGTTGGCATTTTTACCTCATGGTGAAAAGCAGTGATCCAGAACTGATGATGACAAATTCTTCAGGCTCTGCTTTACTGTCAAAGATAGACTACTCTAAACCAGTGGTTCTCAATCTTTTTTGTACCAGGACCCATTTGTAAACATTGATAGCCAGTCCTGATTCAGTGCCCCTCACTCATGACCTGCTGCCCCCAGGCCCCAGCCCCCCAGTGTGTGGGGCAGGAGGCAGGTATGGGGTAGGGGGTGTGTGGGGAGCATGGGGGGGGGCAAGCAGCCCCTTACAGGCTGGAACTCTGGCAGCCTGCAAGGGAAAAGCCACGTTTTTCTCCTATAAAGGAGAATCCATTTTTAAACTTTGTTCATGACCCTTTCATATATTCTTGCTACCCACTTTTGGGTCGTGAGCTACCAGCTGAGAAACACTGCCTAAACCATACCTGCTTGGTATTTGATCATTAATTATTATAAATAATTTGTTGAAGACAAATTCTCTACTAAGTCCTGTGAAAGACATTCTAAACTTAGCTCGCTCTTCTGGATTTTTGATGTCTGAAGAAAGTTTTATATGTTTCCTAGTGGCCTGCTGAAGCTGATATTAAGCTTTATGTATTTCTCTCAGAGAGCATCTACACATTGCCCTACAGTGACCTAGCGACACGCTACATCGCTGTATGGCACGTTACGGTGACATAGTGATCATGTGTGTCTGCATGTGATCACCAGCTACATTGCCGTAGTGGCGTGCTCCCTGGGTACAGCACGCCACTACACCGACGTAGTGGCGAAATTTAACCATGTGCTGTGCACATGGCGCAGTAGCTGCCCATACTGCACCATGCTTTACTACTTCAAAAAGATGTAGATGCAACCATAATGCAGAGAAATTTGAGAAAAATCTTGAAAACAACTCCTTTAGTATACTTTATCTTCCTCCAGTAGTCTTTTTCCTTTTTAGAATAGCTTTTTTCTTTCAATAGACTTCTGTATCACATACAGACTAGTAGACAAGTTTGTAATATCAGCTAGATCATTAAATATGCAAAAGATAAAGTTGATTATGCCTCTCAGAATCCCATCAGTTTTGCATGTACCCTATATAATTTTGACTGGATATATTAACTTGAAATGTTCATGATAAGGAGGATTTATAAAACTGTAGAATTATAAAATTACAGTGCATAATGTTGAATGCCTTTGTTTCCTATGAGCTTGTCTCTGCAAAGAATTAATTTTTTAAAATAGTTTAGCCTGAGTTGCAAAGTTTTAGTCTGGACTTTCCTTATTTAGCAATGTTTTGATCTAGGTTTTAATTCCAGTACAGCTACTGGAAAAGCTATTGTTTTTTAAAAACTTCCACTCTGAATGTTGAAATACATTTCACAAAGTGGAAAGCAAAAGTGCAAATAATGATATGATACAAGGAAATATCACATATATTTAGCAACAGCAGTAATAGCATTCAGTGGTAGGTTTTCCAGATGCTAAGGGGCAATAAGCAAACTGTTTAATATGTATCCTCTGTAACAAACTATGATGATACACAGTGAAATTGTATATCGTATGTGTCCCTTATTTAATGGAAAAATACGTTCATAGATGTGCATAGTTCATGTACATTGCATGTATTTTATGCAGTAAACTGCATGTTAAATTATTATGACTGATTTGCAGTCCAATGGAAATCATAATATCTCGCTAATACTGAAATATCTCTGCTTGTCCCTAATAAGAACTAAGCTTAAAAAAGGCTTAATAAAACTGAAACAAAGCAGAGGTCTAAAGGATCTCTATAATTGTATAAAATATTTTATACACTTTTATTTTTTTTAAGAAATGACCAAAAGTGACCTGAAAGAATTTCCTTTCTGTGTTCTGCATTACAAGTATGTGATAGGACATGTGTCTGCCAGACAGTGAAAATTAGGTTTACTATCTCAAGCAGTTTTTAAAAATGGGCAAAATTCACTCAGTTATACAAAGTGATCCCATTATTATTATTCTGTTTTGCGCGCACAAAAATGCCAGCCTCTCCCAAAGCATAGTCCCTGCGAAGCTGACATCTTTGACATCTCCCTCATGTTTGACACTCACTTTTATACTCATCAGACCTGAGATGAATATGACAAGAACCTCAGACTTAATAAATGCATTTGGAAAGAACACAACTTAGAAGAGACAGGTCACAATTTATCTGTTCTTGAATAGAGGAGGCTGCTGACACAATAACTCTTCTTACTTATCTTCTGTGCACAGGGAAGCTGTAAATTTGGTTACAGAGAGGTGAGGAGCATAGAAGCAACAATATTTCAAAGATCCAACAGGAACCAGTTCCCAATATTCCCTCTATTGGTGGTAGGGGCACAATGCCTGTGTAACAGGGTGTGCCACTTAGGGACTGTGCCACTTCCCTCTGAGTAATACAACTTCCTATTGTGTATAATTACCATCTGTACAATATGATGACCAAGATAATTTATTTCCAACATGTAATTTAAACCTGCCCTCCCACTTAACTAGGTCGGTATGTTTTTTTTTGCAATTCCCTTTTAAAAATATTTAATTGTTCAGTTTTATTTTGAATGATGTGGCAGGTAGTTTTACCCAGAAATCACAAGTTCTAGTCTTGGTGATGGGAGTATACTAAACAGAAAGTTTAAGCAATGCAGAAAAGGTCTAAAACAAAAGATGGAAAAGTTTAATATACCACATGGCATTCTGCAGACTGTGCAGAAGAAGGAACTGTAGACTTTTGTCCCATATCCTTTGAAGGCATCTTTGAAGTGTCTGGAGAAAGCTTAGGTGGATGTTCTTGGATTTCAGGCTCTGCTTTATTGTCAAAGTTGGGAGCTATCTGAATGGAAAGAGATGCTGTGTGTATCTCAGGCACAGAGTTACAGGCAGGTGAGGCAGGCCTTTGTGGAAATGCTGGCATTTCAACAGGCTCAGGCTGTTGCTGTGTATTACAAGGAATGCTATTTGTTGGGTCTTGTGTCCGGGTTAATTTTAGGGCAGAAATTCTACGTTTCTGAGACCCTTGTCTGTGCCCTTGATGAAGACTAGCACTAAGGCCAGCTATGGTGTTTGTGCCTTCACTGGAGACTGAGACTAGTGGTTTAGTGATTGTTTGTGCACAGGACACACTTGTGTTAGATGTTTTAGAAGACATTGTCTTCTGGACAGTCTCCTTGTTAGTACAGTAGACAGTATCTGAAGGGAGGTTTTTAGTTGGCTTGATTGTTACTGACTGCAAATTAATTCTGTTTGTTTTGAGATTAGTTATTTCCGTTCTCCAAAAACTTTCTTTTCTAGGGGGTGGCTGAGGTGCCTTATTTGCCAAAAGCATCCACACACAGCAAAACAACATTAAAGGAGAAACAGAGAGAAAGTAAACGTTAGCAGGAAAAGTAACTTGAGTTAGGCTTGTCATTTTAAACAAAAGAATTGGAGCTTATCCCAAATATCATTTAAGTCAAAAGAAAGACTGAATCAGATCCCCACTACACTTCACTGCACTCAGTTTTAAATTTGACATTTAGAAAAACCAGAGAATCCATTTGTTGATAGAGAGCACAAATTGTAATTAAAACAGAGGCCAGGATAATACATTTTTACTTTGCATCAACATTATTGTACAAGAATTATTACAATCAATTTTTTTAAAAGCTTTTTAATAGATCTTAAAATGCACACTTATAATTTAAGTTGACAAGCTGCTATTTATATGTAGCATTTATACACATATACTTTTAAAATTTTTGGATATAAATAGAAATGTAAGTGCTATTATAATGTGACTTTAATCCTTTTTTGAGAGATAAATGCATTTCTAAATTAAGACAAATTGTTTCATGGTGTTCAGTATAGTTGTTATATTTAGTTGCAAAAATTAGCAGAACAGTACTTTTAGCTAACTTTTAATTAATCTAATAAAACTTCATCACCAGCTATCATATATTCCATGAAGAATGCTTTGTTTGGAATATAAAGCATAGTCAATAGCCTTTGAAGCCTGAAACCATCATAAGGCTTTTTTTTTTGTATTTATTTTTATTAACTGAGTCTTGCTCTTGGAAAGTAGCTTGTATTAGTGAATCAGCAGACAGATACACCTTCAGCAGTGTATACTATATCTATAGCTGCTGTACAGATAAGCAATACTTAATGGCAGGAAAACATCTGGCTAATGCACCATAGGGCACGACATCTGCATATTGTACATCTTTAAGCTTACTCATGTATAATACCAGTGGGTGAAACAGTGTGTGCAGTTTTACCTGAGTTGGTGATTTCTTCTCTTGTAGGTTTGGCCGGACACTTCTAAAGCCTTTTGCTGCAAGAGATGAACTGCTAGCGTCTCCATTCAATGTCTCTCTACTACCATCATTATAAGATCTCCAAGCTTTTAAGGGGGAAAAAAAGAAAAAAACCACATTTTTGATAAACAGTTCTTATGTATCTATGTTACTATTAAAAATCTTCCTACTTTTACTGTTAATATAGGCATTTAAATTAGTCATATAAGTAAGCTTGAAACTACAGCTTCTCAAGCTCTAAGCTTGTCAGATCTGGCAAATTCAAGCGGTCAGGCTTGATCAGTATTATCATTAATTCAGTAGTTCTCATATTCACAGATGCACAGATTTTAAGGCCAGAAGGGGCTAATTTAGCCCCTGGGTATGCAGCCCTTAGGACATTCATTAATTCCTGCTAAGTTATCTTGTGCTGAGCTAGAGCATCTCTTGCACTAAACTGACCACACTTGATTGAAAGGTTCTCAGTGAGGGAGAATTCACCACAACCTTTGGTAAGCTGTTTAAATATTTTGAACCTTTGTTCCCAGTCTGAATTCATCTTCCACCTGCCAGCCAGGAGAATCTGGATCACTGGATGCTCTTAATTGCAGAACTCTTGATTTTTGCTCCTTCTTATGCTAGACATTGTCCAAATACACAGAAAATCACAATCCCTGATCTAACGGACTTGGAGATAATAGGTGGGGAAGAGAGATATGCATGCAGTGTACTTAGGGGGATGACAGGGTTATGTATGCTCTATGAGAGGTCTTTGGCAGTTCTTTTGAAACCAATAGGTTTATAGCCAAAACTCTCCAGTGCTGCTGGAAGTGCTGTCACTTAGGGTCCCTCAAGATTTTCAGGTAAAGGTGTGATGGGATTTGATGTGTGATCTACACAGCTGGGCCTCCAGTTGTGCCACACATGCATGGCAGGACTTACAATACTATTATACTTATGTATGAGAAAATATGTTTTATTTACCTGAATCTGGAGACTGAGAATCAGGCCCTAGAAAAGAAATATCAAGGTTAATACTAAAGTTTATTAGCCAACTTTCCTGGCTAGGGATCTGCATACCATACACAACATTGGGCCCAATTTTTTATTCTTTGCTCAGCACACCCTGACATTGACCATGTTGGGATTTTAAAATATGCAAAGAATTTAGGACTACAGTCTTATTTTTATAACATGCACTTTATAAAAAGCAATTTGACCTAAGAGCAGTACCTTACTGAATGTTTTCATTTCTGTCTGTTATTTTTCTACCATTGCTTTGCATGAATTCATTAGGATTGCACAGATAAAAATTGGACAAAATCTGGTTGGCATAATTTTATAAAGTTAATTTATTTTCTTAATAACTAAAGGCATACATCCTAAACAGCTAATTATGGTGAGACACCCCCCCAGCTAATTAAATTAAGCTGGGGTATTTGTGAGAAGCTAGTGGAGACTAAAGGATAGGTGTGTCAGTGTTTTTTTAAAGTCTAAACCAGATGCTGTTACCAAGGGAATCTAGCCAATAGATTGCACATCAATCAGCCTCTACCACTATAAATTAGACTTCTCTCAGAATGAAGTTATTCAATTTTTTTTCAGCAAAAAATATTTTAAGCTGCATAACAGCATTATTTTCTTTTCACAGCAGTAACTATCTGTATTTTGATATGAAAGGTTATTTTAAGTACTTTATCTTTGTATTTAATTAAAAAACCTTTCACAGACAATTTTAAAGGAGTTGATGTAACTGTAATTGTAAAAATTAATCTAAGTTAAGGAAGTTTGATGGTAACTGTGATAATCTCAGAAGAGCCAGTTTTCACAATATGGAAACTGTTTTGATAAATTTCCTTTGATGATGCACAGTTGGAAAAGACCTATAAAACACAAGCTAACTGTTCTATATTCACATTTTCCCCTCTGTTACCTAAATTCAGCTCAGCTTATTATACCACAGGTAAGCCATGTTTATTGCTCAATTAAATTACATTTTACAGATGATGATATTGTGCTCTGAGAGTTACAGCACTGTTATTTAATCACTGCTACCTCAGACAGGGAATAAAATAAAGAATATTGTTTTTTTACCCCCCCCCCAATAAATGTTAAAATGTTATTACCTTCTCATTTCTATATATGAGAAGAAATGGCACAGCTTATGGAAGGGTTTCATTTAAAAATAAAGAGGCCACATATGGGAGATATGAGATTTTTAAGTGGTAGAAGAATGTAGGAATCTGTAGGATTTCTTAGACAATTAAAAAAGAAAGACAGTAACTGTCCATATTACATAATATATTGGCATAGGATACATTCATGTACACAGGGTGCTTTCATGATTTAAAGGTGGAGTAAGTTTGAAACATTTAAAAGTTGAATTATAGGGTTTTTAAAACAAATTTCAGTTTTTTGAATATGTAGCAATCCACTAAAATTATCAACATAAAAATGGCACTATTGAGCATTGCTGCTTTTATGGACTAAGTACAGTATACAAAACCTTTTTAAAATCTCAATTTGCCTTTTTATTCATAATAAATCATACTGACTTTGTCAGACGTGTTACAGAATGTCAGACCCATAATATTACATCTATAATTTATACAGACACTAATCTCTAAAGACCCAATGCTATCACTCTTATTCACGTTACATAACACTTGTGCAAGCAGCCCTATGATTCCAATGGGATTCTTATCCTCATGGATTAGATACTCTCAACTGAGGAATCTGCAAAATTTACAATGCCCCCTTGCATTTTTTAACTTTTCCAACCTATAAAATTTAAATGTAAAAAAACCAACAGAAGTTGTTGATCAGGTAGGGAAAAAACTGATTTAATACAAATGGTCTCTCTCATCTGTGCTCTTCGAATACTCCAGCAAGTATTTTCAGGCTGACAGTTTTCATGGTACCGTTCAGCCAGGAATTAAATTATATGGCAAACCTAGTACCTTTTTCTCAAGACAGGGATTTATATTTGCTGACAGACACTTAAACTGAGGTGGGCAAATGGAGCTCTTCAATCAAATCTGCTAATATGTATTCAGGATGAGCTAGCGTAACAGTAATTTCAATTTGGTGGCATGAAACATGGAAGGTTTGAAAATATATTGAAACATCAGTATATGTTCTCAGGTGTCAAGGGAAATGGTATGTATATATCCTATAAAGAATATTACAGATGTAGCCTGTGGGGCTTTTGAAAGTGAAGTTTCTAGTTGAATGACCATGATAATACCAAAGAAAACTAAAGAAAGTAGAGAAACCCTCAGCCAGACTTCTATTCACTGTTCACTAATTCTTTGGGCTTCTTTATGTATTCCAGTTGTTTGGTACTGCTACTATACCACTTGGATAGGTTCCTCATTTATTTATACCAAGCAGGTAAGTTACACTAAATTTGGCCATATTGGTGCCAATACACATACATTAAAGTTCCAATAACTTAAACCAACCCTGAATGTTGGTCTCTAATTAACAAACAGTTCTGTCTCCATACTCAATATTTTCTACCCTTTTATTATCTGTTTTTTTTCAATTTGTAGGAAGATTTTCTTGAAAATAAGAAGTTTGTTTCTTAAAAATTTAACTGGCTTTGACCTGTCATTTCACAACAGCTGCTATAATCTACTTATGACAATACAGTAGTCTCCAAAAATGGTTGAAATAAACAAAACCAGATCTTTATGATAATTTCCCTATGAAGAAAATAGGTGGATGCAAGCAGACAAATGGGAACATGGGCAAAATACGTGACATGGGCAAGATTTTTCTTTTTCAATTAAAACACCTTTTCAAAATTTCTGAGGTTGTTTGACCTTTTATTTAATGTTACTGTATACAGCCAGAAAAAAGAGGACATCTTCAGAAACAAATTATATTAAGAGATTTGGTTATTGTGGAACCATGGCAACCATATAACTTAGAGCTGCCAGCAGAACTGAAATATTAGCTACTCTTTATCCCATCTTTGTAGAGAAACAGTACAGCAATTCAGCCATTACATAAAGCCATTGAAGGGTGGTATTATATTGGTTAGTTGTTATACCTGCAGCCAATAGGTTTGGAGAACTTTGAACCCTCTTCACAGCTGTTAATGTGACAGACATTGCAGCACGTTTGCGAGCACACCCACCGCTATCTGGAAGCACAAAATGATATAGACACAGCCCAAGACAAAAGGAGCAAGCACATGCAAGATATCACATGGTACAAGTGCGCTATGGCAAACATGAAAACACACATGCAGTTAGGAATCATTATTCATTTTTATAGGTTTTCAAATCCCACAAATTAGCAGAACATACTCTTCAGGAGCTCTGTATAATGAATACAGTAATTGTAACAATGAAGTGACTAGTTACTCTTTGGTACATTGCACAAATGTGTGCATTCCAGTGCCAGAAAAACTGCTTATGTGTACCTGATAACTAACAACAAATAGCTGATCAAAATAAAGGATTAAATATTGCACAACATTCATTAACAATGTGTACTGTCAAATCATTTTATTGTGTGGCTAAGAAAGCCACTATTCATAAATCTGGCTTGTACTTTATTGCATGGCACAGTGTGTTTGTACAGTAACACTGGTCTGTAATATGAATAACAAAACCTGCAAGTTCTTCTTCTGCTAGGCTAGGTACAGACATTCAAAAAGCTGGAGGCGGAATCAATCAAATTATGTGGTTTTCTGTAAGTGGCGTAGTTTAGATCTGTCGCGAACAGAACATACATTCACCCTTTGATGGGAAGGGCAAATCTTTGACCGAGTTCCACCATTTTTAAACCAGTTTGTGTGTCCCGAACTTCTGTTCTGTTACAGCTATAGACATTTGGAGTTTAGCAGTATGTTGGGAGAATGACCAGAGATTAAGTGCTTACTCCCACGTGTGTTTATCACAAGATCAAAGTTTGGGCCAGATCTGAAATTGTTAAGGTATTAGAATGCATTTAGAACACTCTCCTCCACAGATGGGAGGTTTAAGGAGACAAAACCTCTTTTCTTATACATTTATTTCCTTCCAACTTCTATCCTTTTCTCTGACCAAGGGCTGAAGATTCTGGGCCCAGCAGCATTGTACCATTACTGGCAGCAATTAATATATCATGGAATTTGGCTTTTCATTCTGGGGCAACCACCATACCCTACCACACCAGTCACAGATTCATAAAAACAGTGCAGAAAATAGTCTGCATAAGTGTGTGTTTATAGAATCAATTTTTTTTCTGCTCTTTATTCCAAAGTTGGGAGGAGGTGTGCACCTGTGTGCCTTTTTGAAAATCACACGCTAGGATTTTTAGAAGAGCACTACAATAGGTATATTTATCATACTGGGCTTGAAAGTGGCATGCTGTTTAGTTATGAGAGAGTAAACATAAATACTCCCAAGATGTGTAAACTGGCTCTGATATTCCAATGAAAATATCAGACTATACTGGTCACTGGATCTTGTGGCATGTGTGTTAAACAGCTGTTGACTGACAAACATCTGTGCTGCTGTCCTCAGACAGAAACCTTTCTGAAGTCACCTCTTCTCCCATGACATGAGGCAAAGGCCTGAGTGATTTCAGCTATCCAGTAAGCATAGTAATCCTAGCCAATGCATTTCTTAGAATTAATTATTAGTATTATTCATGTGAAGCAAGGAGAAATGGTCATCATGCCCACATGTTTACTGGAGAATGTTGACAAATATGACACTGTAGTAGTTATTTAATGTTACTCTTTCCAGTTATGTTATTATTGTCCTCCCTCCCCCACCGCCAAATAAAATAAAATGACAGACCTCAGAATTGCTGGTAAGAGAATTAAAGAAGTAATACAGTAAGTATTTTTTATTTCATTGCATCTTCATTACCATAGTGTATAAATATTTATGCTTCTCTCATAGGAATATATCACAAAACTGACAGCATACCGTATTAGATTAGTAAAAACCAACAGTCCAAGATACAATGCTTTTGTGCTGTCATACATTCTAATCAAACACAATACAGGCTTTATTGTCTTTCTTGACATCTGCTTTCCTTGCGTTTCAGAGCAGGAAATGTGGAAGCTGAGATGTAGACTGCCACTAGTAAAAAGGCCTAGTGTGCACAAATACCCCCTCAAGGGACTATACTGAGGAGTACTCCAGTGAGGCATTGCATTCCTGCTTTGCGTGTACTCCCCACAAAAATAGGTTTGGACCTCTTCCTTCAAGGTCTACATTTCAGTCACTGGACCCTACCATGAATGCTTCCCTTCTTTCATCTCTCGCCTTTTTTCTTTCCATTTAGCTAACTCTCTCCTAACTAACTCCACCCAAAGAATTACAGAGAAAAGCAACAACCATCACTCCTGCTAGACAAAACAGTGACATTAGCAATATGGCATGTCAGGCACTCTGGGCATTTATACATAAGCTCTGGGAGATGGGGACGGGGTGGGGGGAGGTAAGGGGGTGCTTTAATTAGAGTGGCTCTTGGAAGTTGCTCCAAGAGCCACTCTAAGTAAAGCACCCAGAGTATCACATGTATCAGGGTCCCTGTGCTGAAAAATGGCAGCAGGAGCATTTTAACTAAAGCTCATCAAATGAGCTTTAGTTAAAGCACCCCCATCACCATTTTTAGCATGGGAATGCTGATACACATGATGCTGGAGTCTGCTGGAGTGTTGTAATTACCACACTCCAGCAGACTCAATTAATGGTGTCTGCTCCAACACACTGTACAATGCATCGGAGCAGCCTTGATGCACGTGTATAGGTGCCTTCTATTCACTCTATTTGTATATTGTATCACTTTCTCATAGATTCATAAATGTTAGGGTTGGAAGGGACCTCAGTGGGTCATCGAGCCCTGGGCAGGAAAGAGTGCTGGGGTTAGATGACCCCAGCCAGGTGTTTGTCCAGTCTTCTCTTGAAGAACCCCAGGGTAGGGGAGAGCACCATCTCCCTTGGAAGCCCATTTCAGATTCTGGCAACCCTTATTGTGAAGTTCTTTCTAAATGTCCAACCTAAATCTGCTTTCCATCAATTTGTGGTCATTGTTCCTAGTTACTCCAGGGGGTGCCCTAGTAAATAGAGCATCTCCTATTCCCTGCTGACCTCCCCAGATGAATTTATAGGCAGCCACAAGATCACCTGTCAGCCTTCTCTTGTGAAAGCTGATGAGATCTAGGTCCCTCAGTCTCTCCTTGTAGGGCCTTGCCTGCAGGCCTCTGACCATATAAGTAGCCCTCCTCTGAACCCTCTCAAGATTCTCCACATCCCTCTTGAAGTGTGGTGCCCAAAACTGGATGTGGTACTCTAACTGTGGCCTGACCAGTGCTGCATAGAGGGGAAGCACCACCTCCCTGGACCTGCATGTGCTAATGCATGATAAAGTGTGGTTAGCTTTGTTGATCAACTCGTCACATTGATGACTCATGTTCATCTTGGAGTCAACTATGACTCCAAGATCCCTTTCCACTGCTGTACTGCTGAGAAGGTCATCTCCCAGCCTGGTAGTGTACTGATGGTTCTTTTTGCCCAGGTGCAGCAATTTGCACTTGTCTTTGTTGAACTGCATCCTATTTCATTCTGACCATTTTTCCAACCTGTCCAGATCTACCTGGATCCATTCCCTACCCTCTGGTGTGTTAACTTTGCCCCATAATTTAGTATAATTTGTGAACTTGGACAGGGTGCTCTCCATGCCCTCATCCAAGTCACTCATGAAGACATTGAATAGCACTGGTCCAAGGACCGAGCCTTGTGGGACTTTACTACCTACATCTTCCCAGGTCAATATTGACCAATCCACTACCACTCTCTGGGTGCAACCCTTAAGCTAATTTGCCACCCACCTGACCGTATAATCATTTATAACACAGCCTGTCAGTTTATTTATGAGAAAAGAATGAGATACCATATTGAAGGCCTTCTTAAAGTCTAGGTAGATGACATCTACCTTGACTCCTGCATCTAAGCATTTTGTGACCTGGTCATAAAAAGAAACAAGGTTAGTCAGGCAGGATCTACCTGCAATGAATCCATGCTGATTTCCTTTCAGCATTATTTCCCCTGCTGGGCTCCCACAAATGTGATCCTTAATAGTTTTTTCTAGAGTTTTCCAAAGGATAGAGTTGAGATTAACTGGCCTATAGTTTCCCGGTTCCTCCCTTCTCCCCTTTTTGAAAATAGGGACCACATTGGCCCTTTTTCAGTCCTGCAGAACCTGACTGGAGCACCATGAGTGCTTGACCAACCTTTAGCCTTCTCTTTTGGCTTGTCTTGTTTATTCAGATGTCAAGCTTTCAAGATGGTGAAAAGGAGATGGGGGAGAACCTGTCTAGAACCAGTTTATCACTGTCTTTACAGAGTCGAGTGCAGTAGGCACTGTTACTGTTTGGTTCTTAGGTGATACTGAAATACAAACATACTTATTAATAAACAGGAACTTCTATAGGAGAGGGCTTACAACATTAAGATCATATAATCTCCTGTACTGGCCCAAAAGTAATTTCATGACTAAGTCAGAGACTCTGGGGGACCAAGTATTTCTTTTCTTGTCTACAGACAAACTAGATAAATTGCAGGAGGTTAGATCATGTGTTGACTTACATTAATAAAGCTAATGCACATAAAATATTTTGCAGCCTTCCCAAATTGTGTGTTCCTCTTCCCTGGCTGCTCTTTATGGGTCTCATTTGCTGCAAGCAGCTGACTTGTTTAATCATTTTAAAATTAGATGCATTTATCAAGAAGATTATTCCTGTAAAACTCCTACCTATTTATAGACAGGCATTAAGAATATATTTTAGTATATTAACTTTTATCCATTCATTAGCTATTTATGCAGGAAAACAATATCAGCATTTGCAGATGCTCATGAAACATGTGGTAGACATATTTATTCAGAACATTTCAGTTAGGAAGGCAGTGTGGTCTCAAACAGAAGGCCACAAGTCAGGAGATCCAGAGCTGTATTCCTAGGTGTCTGGATTGCTCAACCTCTCTGTACCTTAGTTTTATGAAACTGCCACATGAAGAAAATGATGCTTACCCACCTTTTAAATTGTTTAAGAGATTCACAGATGAAAAGCCTTTATGTATTTTAAGCATTACATTTTTCAGAGGTTTCTTGCTTAATATGAGTTTAAGCTCATATTTTCAT